GACACACAACTAGCCAGCACATTCTCTCACCTACCCTTCCTATACAGTCCAGGTTGACCTACCAAGTGGTGGCACACCCCACAGTGGGGTGGGCCCTTCTACATCAGTTAGCAATTTAGAAGATGTCCTATAGGTGCACCCACAGGGTCATCCCAGATGGCCATTCCTCAGTTGAGAGTCCCTCTTCCCAAGTATGTCTAGGTTGGTATCAAGGTGACAGCTGAAGCTATCAGTCACAGGGGCCTTTAGAAGGTGTGTCCCCCAGGATGGAAGGTACTGTGGCTACTTTCCTTGGGACCCTTCCCTCAGGGTGGAGTGTCGTCAGTATCTTGTTATTGAGGTCCCAGCTCCAGTGCCTCCTCTCAGAAGACACTCACTTTCCAGTCTTCCTGGGTCCACCCCCACCTTTGTGATCACCCCCCAAAAAAGTCACAAACCCAATCTGTGTTGCCCATCTACTCACTGGACCATGGTCAAGCTCCAACCACTTGAAGAAAACTGAGTCCTTCCCCACCCCACACCTGTGGTGATGTTTTGTTTATGATCTAACAAACAAAGCTTGCATGAAGATTAGAATGCAAAGCCAGCCACGCTAGTCAACCATAGAGGCCAGGTAGTGGTGGTACACACCTTTAATACCAGGACTAGAGAAAATATGACAGGAGGAGACGGGAGTCAGTCAGTCTACAGTCATGCTGAGGACAAGATCGTCTACAGTCATGCTGAGGACAAGATCACCCCTTTGGTCTGAGCCTTGGTAGAGGTAAGAACTCTATAGTGTTTTGCTGCTTCGCTTTTCTCATCTTCAGCTTGAACCCCAATATCTGTCTCTTAGTTTCTATTATTCTTGCCCTTAATTGTGGAGAGCTACACTTCAGCATCCTTATCACAATTTTTAAGAGTCCTCTTTGATGCCTTCCTGTCTTGGCTGTGGGGAGTGGAGGGGTTGTCAAAGGACCCTTCTATGACTTTGTTTCTCTGCTGTGAATCTGCAGTCATTGAAACCACTGCGAAAGTAACTTCCTTGCCTTTATAGTCAATGGAAGCATGGATCATGGACTTCTCCATGGTTTCTGGTGACAGCATGAAACATGGACATCCATATGGCCTCTGGCACCATCATATGCCATAGACCAAAGTGTGGTGTTGGGTGGCAGAACAGACCAAGGACATCAACACGACTGTCTGCCACCAGCCACATACATCAACATGGCCTCAGGTAGCTGCAAAGACCACTCACATCAACATGGCCCCAGTGGCTGCATGACCCACAGTCATCAACTTGTCTTCAGGTGGCCGCACAGACCATTGACATCCACATGGCCTTTGGTGGTAACACAGGCCATGGACTTCAACATGGCCTCAGATGCCAGTACAGGCCATACACATCAACATGGCCTCTGGTATCAGCCTAGACCATGGACACTGACATGGCCTCTGGTGGTAGAACAGACTACAGACATCCACTTTGCCTCCAATAATAGTGTGGGCCTCAGACATTGACATGGCCTCCAGCGACATCCCAGACCACAGACATCCACCTGAGCCTTGGGCTTCAACACAGCCTGGGGCTGCATCAGATGCCAAGATGGCCTTCCAAGTGGCATAGACCATACAGGTCTTTCAAGGAGGTCCAGTCCAGAAAATGAACTACTCTTTGTCTCAGACTTCCCATCATTGCTCAGAGCCAGGGCAATCCTGCCACTGGGCGGCATGTTTGGAGGCTGAGACTGTACAAACTCCAGGCTGCTGCACACCACTCTGACAAGTTCCCCCATTGACTGGCGCCTTCTCTCAAACCTGTGTCTCACACACCACCGTGTCTCTCACTCCTCTTCTCTCCGCCATGCACGCACTGCTCTGTTCCTCCATCTTTCCCACCTCTCCATCCCATATTCATTTGCCTGCCTCATCTCAGATATCCTGCTGTTGCCCAGAGTCAGGGTGATCTTTCGGCTAGGCAGAGCATCTGGTGGCAGATTCTGTGCAGGCTCCAGGCTTGCTGGGCTTGACTTTTGTGCTGGCTGCCTGCAGGCAGCACCACTATCAGGTGCTCTCTGCCTCCCAGCAGGCCCAGGCCCATCCCTATTCAGCAATGACATCCGCTTCTGCAGGTACAGCTCCTCCATGAGCTCTAGTAGTAGATGCTAGGGGGGACAGACTCAAAGCACTGGATCTGGGTGCAGATGGCAGCCCAGTGGTCAGCTCAGGACTTCTTCCACCCCATGACCAGCACTTTATGTGCAAGAATTTGCTGCACCCATCAGCCACCTCCCCACAAAGCCACCTTACAACGCTCGCTTATTAGATAAGGAGGCTGTTCTGCTGGGACCTCCAGCTCACTCCATGAGATCCGGAAAGCCCCATTCCTCTCTCTCCACACCCCACCCTCTCAGAGACTCTCCAACAAAGAAAAGGCACCAAAAAGCCCAGTTCCACATTCTTGGCAACTACAGAAGTTTTTCCCCTGAATTTGCCAGCAGCCCAAGTCCCTGCCTAAAGTGCTCAGCTTTTGACCATACTTGGGCACAAATCCAGCTTACGATGTACACATCATCACCCCTTGCCTAGGGGCTATATAAGCTCCCTGCTTTAGTTGGGGTTCATGACTTCTCTGGCCCCATTGCTGGGACTGGAGAACTCATCAGGGAGTTGCTTTGCTCAAATAAACCTGTCCTTTTACTTTTTCAATTCGGCTTGATCTGACTTACTCCGTTGGTGGATAAACCTATTATTTCATTACAGAAAACCTATTAGAGGCCACTCAAGGGAGCTATGTAAGGTCCTGTGGGAGACAGGGTGACAATATGCTCCCTTCTCCTCCCTGAACACATGGTTCAGCCTGTTCTCTTCCAGTTTAAAAAAAATCCTGTAGGTCCTCCACTTAGTATAGGTTCCAAGGTCAACTATTGGCACACCAAAAGCCACACAGGTCAAGCCTCATCTTTCTATAGCTTAGGGACACTTTTGACATGTGTCACTCTGTTAGAAATAAGTTCAGAGTCACAATGAAAAAGACCACCATTTCAATTACGTGTCCAGACAAAGTCAACTTTACTCTTGTTTGTCTTTTGTTTTTCAAGACAGGGTCTCTTTATGTAGCTCTGGCTGCCCTGGAACTCACTGTGTACACCAGGATGGACTGGAACTCACAGAGATCAGCCTGACTCTGATTCCTGAGTACTAGAACTAAAGGTGAGGGCCACTAAGCTGATGTAAACTTTACTCTTGATCAAGAGGGTGTGCTAGTGTGTGTGTGTGTGTGTGTGTGTGTGTGAGAGAGAGAGAGAGAGAGAGAGACAGAGACAGAGACAGAGACAGAGACAGAGACAGAGACAGAGAGATGGGGAGAGAGAAAGAGAAAGGGAGGGAGGGATTATGAGGTCTGACCTCACCCTCTTATTCTATTGCCTAGTCTATAAAAAAAGTGGCAACAAGCCTGGCAGTGGTGGTACATGCCTTTAATCCTTTAGCTTGGGAGACAGAGGTAGGGAGATCTCTGTGAGTTCAGGGCAACCTGGTCTACTGAGCAAGTTCCAGGATAGTCTCCAAAGCTACAGAGAAACCCTGTCTTGAAAAACAAAAACAAAACAAACAATCAAAAGAAGTAGTACCGCATACATGAGGAGGAAGGGAAAAGGGGTCACTGCTCCAAGTCATCACATTCCTAGAATAGGGCAGTGGGCCTTTGTGTAAACAAAGGTTTTCTTGGTGGGGAGGGTTCAAACATTTGCAAGTCTTACCAGGTGGGGGAGATAAAGACATTTTAATCCCTTGTTCTAAACTCAAGTTTATAGTTTTTGATGAAGAAGATCACAATTGATATTTCTTACACCACAACTTTTTCCCAGAAAGTTTCTTCTTAGGGGTAATTAAAATTCTTCAATTTTAGAGATTTCTTATAGTGCTGGTAGCATTAATTCTGGTGCACGAATTTAGGGTAGACATAAGGGCAGACAGTGGGACACTCCCTAGGGTCTGCCCCAGTTTGGAGCCACTTCCTCTCCCCAGTTCCAACTCTCCAGCCCGGCTGAGGGGACCAGAGCACTGCTGTGGGGTCATGTGCCCACTCAGCATTTTAAAGCCAGGCTTGGAGGACACCGGACGTTCTCAATCTTGAGTCCAGAGCCCACTCTCTCTCCTCCCTTCCTGGCAGAAGCACCCTCTCCTCTTCCCACTGTGAATCCCATTGTCATGCCGGTGGCATTCCAACCTTGAAGAAGCAGCCCCCTTCTTGCAGATTTCTCTGTCGCAAGATTCAGTAAGTAGCTTTTTAAGTTCATTGCCAAGGGTTGTCAGGACAGTGCAGAGAAAATTGCCAACGATTCTGAAAACAGCCCATGAATCTAGGGCAAAGCAGCCGAGAACAAGGGAGCGCCTCAGCGGGGGTGGGGCGTTGGCAGCCGAGTGGATGAGAAAGTTCTGGGCTTCCAAATTTCTTTGGTTGGGATCTGTGTTAATTTAGGAGATCAATTGAGTAGTTTCCCCTTGTTCCTCAGTCAAGGAACTGATGACTGAGGAAACAAAGAGAAGGGAGCCTGGAGGGTGGGGGTAAGAGTTTCTGCAGGAGGGAATGAGGATCTGTGGGTCATTGGAGAGAGAGAGAGAGAGAGAGAGAGAGAGAGAGAGAGAGAGAGAGAGAGAGAGAGAGAGAGAGAGAGAGAGAGAGAGAGAGAGATGAGAGAGAGAGAGAGAGAGAGAGAGAGAGAGAGAGAGTGTGTGTGTGTGTGTGTGTGTGTGTGTGTGTGTGTGTGTTGGGGGCGTCATTGACATTGTCTAGGGGAGTTGTACTGTTTTCAGCTCAGTTTTGCAAACTTGGATTGCAGCACAGCTCTGCCACCAGGGTGTTGCCTGACTGAGACAGGAAAAGCCAGGTCCCAGACTCCTGTGTGACTGCAAGTGAGCAGCCTCCCTCTGCACACTTGGAGATTTAGGGTTTCAGAGCCAAATGAAAACAACTCTTTCCCACCTCGACACTTCTCAGCTTCTCCCTTGCTCCCCCACAGAGTCTTCATGACTCTTTGTGGCGCCTCTGGTCTTGAGCAGAACTGCAGATGGCTCTGAACTGTGAGGACTTCTCTGTGGCCTTCAAAGAGGTAAAGGACGGGAGAACATTAGGTTTTGTTCATCATGGGTTTTTATGCCAACTGTGATTTTCCAGTTAGCTATACCTCCACAAGTTAACACTTACACTACAGTCTCCCCTTACACACAATGTTAGCGGACATCAATCAGTTACAGTCCCAAGAGATGAAATGTAAAATTGCAGAAATATATGACCCTTGTTCTGAGCAGTGCGATGAAACCCTGCAACGGCCATTCTATCTCAGCTGAAAGAAAGAGCCTTCCGTCAGTCCAATGTGTCCACAAATATGTACTACCTTCCCATGTAGCAAGCTATCTCAGTTGTCAGATCCACTGTATGATGTCCGTGTCTGTGTTCCAAGGACCTTCACCTAAACAAGGCTTAGGGGTAAGGATCTGGCAGTTCAGAAACGCTGAAGAGAAGCTGTAAAGCACTTAAGAGAAGAGGCTGCCTTGTAAGGATGCTGAGGTCTGTAAGGGAGAAACAGCACAGGCATATATAAAGCTCATGACTAGCTATGATTTTCTTGGAAAATGGGGCAATAATAACGTGGTTATATTTGCAATGTGGGCTTGTCTTATGGTTCCTATTATTTGCCAATTTTACAAATAAAACCCCTGAAGTTCACACGTATGAAGGCAGATCAGACCTCTGGAGCGTCATCACAGATGACAGTCCCTTCTGCTCATTGCAGCCTCCTGTCAGCCTCCAGCTAAATGCAGCTAGCTAAGGCTCTCGGCCAGGCAATGTCAATGGACTCCAGGTGACACAAGGTGAAAGGGCATTTACTGAAAGCACACAGTGACTCACAGACTTGATAGAAAGAGTGGCTAACTAGGAAGAGCAATGAACCAGAACCACAGCAGGAGCTCTCTACAGACCCACACCAGCAACGCCACCGCAGCCACCGCACTGGCCCCCGCCACACGCTAGGAGGCAAGGGAGGCTGAGAAAGTGAGTATTTGGCATTTTCACCATCAGCAGAAAGACTCTGTCTCTCTCCAAGAGTGGAGAATTCCTCCAAAATTGGAAGGGTGTTGAAAGACCAGGTGACTAAGTTGATGACAAATGGCAATCGGGTTGGGTCAGGTAATGCAGTTGTAACAAAACCAAAGAACCAACCAACCAGATAGACAGAAGCTCGGTGGCTTAAAAACACCCTGAAGTTCTGTTTTGTTCCTGCAGCGATCCTGCCAGGGATGGCTGAGGCTCTTTTCAAGGCTGCCCTTAATGAAACTGCTCAGGCTGACTAAACACTGTGCACCATCCCTAAGTGCACTGCATAGACACGTCTAATTACAGGTTGCTCTGAGGTTGCAGGGAGGCAGGAGGGGAGGAGAAAACTGCCAATATGCACAGAATCTGGCCAGCAATCAAGGGTTCTTACCTGGAAGTAATATATGTCACCTGGGCTGCAGTAGCTGCGTAGGCCTGCCTGGGCTGAGCAAGTGCATGGTGCTTTGGGTCTACCAGCAAGCTGGAACTAGCTGGTAGGGATGGCATGTGTGCCACGTGGAACCTGCTGTCTAAGGCCACCTGGCAAGGGGTAGCTAGCAGGAAGACACTGGAATGGAGATGAGAGCTGGGTTTTAATCCTGATGAGGCACTGGGACCTGTTGTCTCCTTGAATTGTATCTGCAAGCCAAGAAAACACCTGCATTGAGACAGTCAGGATCTCAAACTCCATGTGGCAGAAATAGCTATCCAGTGTAGGTCCCAGCAAGAACATCTCACAGGGCCAGGAGCAACGCAAGCCAGAACTGAGCCCAGCCTCCAGAGCCCTCTCAGGCAGCCTTACCACAGGTACCCTCATCTCACAGTGTCTCCTACAGAAGCAGACATTTTACTCAAGGGCCCTTGGTTCCCTCTGCAAAAGCCCCTCTGCTTTGCAGCTGCCTGAGGATTGTGGGGTTTGGGATGTGGAGGATCTTTGGGCCTTTGAGGCAGAACGGTGAGCTAAGCCAGGATTTTTACACAGAGAAACCCTGTCTCCAAAAACAAACAACAACAAAAAAGTCTTCTATATCAAAAGGTTTAAAGACTACATTTCCCAGCCTGCTTAGTGGAATTTGAGGCTAGGGAGGAGTTGGGGATCAAAGAGCCACCCTAAGAGCTGGGTGTTGGTGGTGCACACCTTTAATCCCAGCACTCAGGAGGCAGGGGCAGGCAGATCTCTGTGAGTTCGAAGCCAGCCTGGTCTACAGAGCGAGTTCCAGGACAGCTTTCAAAACAATACAAAGAAACCCTGTCTCAAAAAAAAAAAAAAAAAAAAAGAGCCACCTTAACCCAAGTGTAAGTTCACAACAACAACATGGTAGACATTTGCTAAGGATCCTGAAGATTGCTAACAGGAATTGTCAGGACTGCTAAGCCTCTCCCTCCCAAAGACCTGTCACCCACAAGATGTGAGCTGCCAGTCTAGTGCCCTCTGATGTGAAGAGCCTGTGGGTTCTCCATTCTGTTACATGATCCTGGGGAAAAACACTGATCTCATTTCCAGTTTCTTCAAGGTCGAGGTTTCTGCTTGTGAGGCTCCTACCTCATCACAGGTTTTGATGTAAACATCCTAATACCTAGTATGTGTAAACTTGCTGAGTTTGAGGCAACTTCTCACAGAAAAGATTTTGTTGTTGTCTCAGTGCCAGAGATGGAACCCAGGACCTTGCATGTGATAGGTTAGCATTAGACCTAAGCCACAACCCTAGTCCAGAGAAGTTCTAATACTGAGACTTGACAGCGGTTATCCAAAGGACATCAGAAAAGTAGATTACTGTCTTCTAGACCAGAGTCCAAACAGTACTACTCCAGTTCTAATGCTCAGGCTATACATACAGCAATGGCGCCCTCTGGTGGTCATTATTGTATACTGCATCCCCTTAGTAAGGCTTGGCTTAAAAACAGACCTCCCGTAATCTTGATCACCTTCATCCTTAGTCTCAACCCTTAACACATCCAGTTTCAACAGTCATAAAGGCAACTGTACAGGGCACCAAGAGCAGCGCCCCTTCATAGTCCAGAGTTCCAACAGCCACACACAGGACCCAATGATGGTGAGACACTGCTCTGTGAACACCACGTTCCTATCAGGTCATGGAAGACTACCCCAGTGATTCCTGCTACACTAGGACTCCCGGAAGATGGTGACTAAAACATATTCCTACTCACATACTCTCTGACCAATTAGTGGACTTGACAGAGTGACAGCCTTGACCCTGGCAACCCTAACAAGCCAGGGTCACCCATCCATTCATCTGCAAAAGGCTAACCAAGGAGACATGCTGGGAAACAGAAAAAGTATGTTTAGCTAATGTGATAATGCTGGAAAGAGACATAATGACTGTTTCAGACCAAGACCATCTTCCAGAGTCCTGGCATGAGGTCTAGGTTTAAATAGAGGGCAAGTTGGTCAAGCTGCATATATTTAGTCTCTCCTGCAAGGTAGTCTTCAAGATTGTTAGTGTGGAATCCCTCCCTAGGAGCAAACTTTGTGAGGGGTAAAAAGTTATGTTTTAAGTTTAGATGTCTGTGCTCAAGAGATCTATAAAACAAAAATGCTTCTCACCTGTAAGCCTCACTTACCCAAAGGCAGATAAACCTGTCAGCCCTCATGCCCAAGGACAGGAAACTTTCTGGAATACTAGGGGCTATGTTGTTCATGTAAGATAACAAGCCATGTGTTTTCACTTCTATAAATAAAGTTACTTGTCCCAACTGTTTAGGATGTGTTTGGTCACATGTATACAGGAGGTACTTAGGCAGGTAAATGGAAGAAATAAAAAGGAAAGGAACAACTGCGCTTAGGTATGGTGGAGGAGAAGGTTTATTGTAGATAAAAAGGAGAGAATTGTAAGGATTCAGGCATTATGCTGGTCTTCCCCTGTCACCTGGCAGAATCCGCTCAGGCAGTACTCTGATCAGCCCAGGTTTCCATGATGGCATAGTCTGTAGGTAGGTACAAATAAAGGACCCCTTTAAAGGAAGACCCCACCCACTTACACTCCACCACCTTCTTTCCCTGATCCTGTCGTGTCCCCCTACCCAGTGTCCCCCCCCCAGTGCCCCGCCCAGAGTCAACCTCACATGCCATGTAATCTGCGAAGGTTCCCCACACAAGGTCCCCCTTGAGCTTTATCATAACAAGCATAGCCAGAGGCAGAGATATCTGGGAGAGTGCAGAGTGGACACTGTTGTGCCAGATCGCAGAGTCCCCAAAAATCCAACAAGGAGACCAAATCCCCGTATGTAAAAGCAAAGAGCCTTTATTAAAGTTTGAACTAGAACTCTCCTGTGTCCAATGCACTGGCATGATCAGAGAGCTTGAGCTCAGTTGGGGTAGGTTTTTGTTTTGTTTTGTTTTTATCATAACAGAGATTGGGGTAAGGGATTTCTAAGGTTCAGAACCCCTGATTGCCTGACATTTGTGCTGACATCAGGTGATCCTATCTACAACAGTTGGAACGTTAGGAATTTCCTTTGGAATGTCAGGTGCTTTACCCGTGGTCCTGAGTGGTGCCGGGGTGGTCCCAGGTTGTAGTCTTTCCTGGAGCCAGATATTACCTTAGGGTAATCTGAAACTCAGGCCTCTGTTGAGCTTGTCACGGGCCCTGCAGACACGACCCTGAGCCATGTGAGAAGGGGGAAGGGAGCTGCCAACCAAGAGGGGCAGTCTGGGCTAAGAGACTGACTCAGAGACTAGATGGCTGGATTATACAGGGAAGGTGTGGTGGTTTGAGAGAAAATGGCCCCTAAAAACTCAGGGAGTGGCACTATTAGGAGGTGTGGCCTTATTGGAGTAGGAAGTATTGTTAGAGGAAGTGTGTCCCATCCAGATGTAGAATTCTCAGCTACCTCCCCAACTCCATGTCTGCCTACATGTCACCATGTTTCCTCCCACGACGATAGTGACCAAACCTTTGAAACTGTGAGACAGTCTCAAAGAAATGTCTTTATAAGAGTTGCTGTGGTCATGGTGTCTCTTCACAGCAATGAGACCCTAACTAAGACAGAAGGGCAGCTGGGGGAAGGGCAGCCCATTCCCTGGACTGGAGAAGTTTAGGGTCCTGGGTGGGATATGCCAGCCAGAAGCGCCCTGTTAACAGGTAGGAGCTGGAGGATGTAGGGAGCACCTGGGTGGCCAGCATCTGCTTAGATAGGCTAAATCGGCACCCCAGCCCCAGGTTTGAGACCTAACAGCAGGAAGTACAGGATGTATGCTTGCCCCCAATTGGATAAAGGCAGGAAGTGGGAAGCCATGTGGGTTTTGTCTTTATAGGTACCTGACTGATGTCATTCACAGCGATTCTCTGGGAATCCCAGGTATGATCCTGGCCTGAAGTAGTGGCCTTATTCTTCAGAAGGATCAACAGCTTTCCCGTGGCTGACACCACACTTCAATCTATTCCCTCTGTCAGCCCGAGGGTCTTCCAGGAAGAACCTGACAAGTTTCTGCATCCTGATATGCCTCTCCGCTGACACAGCAATCCAAATCAAACCAAATCAAACTGAATTAGAAAAAGCCCATGCTTAATGAGTACAACACTCCCAAATGGCCTTCCAGTCCCCCAGAGAGGAGGCGGGAAAGAGACCAGAAAACCACACATCTATTTTCTGGGGGGTAGTTTAAATACCCTGTGGGAGTGGTCTTGAGCATCTCTGGGGGAGGGGTCATCATTTGTGTGGGGGTTTTCTGAGATGCAGCAGGGTTTGGAGGGAGGTGAGGGGGGCTTGGGTGGAACTTCCACCATAACATTCCAGACTCTGGGTATATGGATGCCAGGGGCTGGGGTGAAGCTTCCATCAGAACAGAACCTACTAGATTTATTTGGGCTGTTGGTTCAATATTCTGATAGTCAAAGGGCAGAGCACAAGCTCTTTAGAATGTCTTCATTCCTGTCAGGATGGTTACACTATTCTACAACTAGGAAACAGCCAGGGAGTTTTGACCAAGTGTCGTGCTGAGCACCGAGACAAAATAAACAGTCATGGTTTCTACCGAAGCTTACACTATGGGTAAGGTTGCAGGGAAAGAGGGGTTGGGGAAGAGATAGACAGTGCAGATGGCCAATGATGCTATAAATTATTCTCTTCCAATTACAACAATTTCTCTAAGAATCTGCTCAACCACAGAGCACATTGGGCCTGGGGCCAGAAAAGTTTTTGTGAAGAGAATAAGATGTGGTCCGACTACAATTGGGATTAGGTGGGCTAAAAGAAGAGTGACACATACCCCTACCCACCCCCATGATGGAGTTGAACTATCCCTAATGTGACTTCCTTGGAGCTTAACTATGAGAGGTCAGCATGGATCAACAGTAGAAATACTTGAGATGCCCCAAAGGATTGCAATCTATTATGAGAGACCGTGATTAGTTTAACCTCTGAGACTGGCTGGGCTGATGTTAAAGGAGTATGAACTAAAGGTGGCTACTTGTTTTACAGTCTAATTTAAGCTCTCTTGGGTAGTAAATGTTGGGTGAGAGCGTCTTGGACTGCCTAGTCTGCATCTTCCCAGGAGCCAAGGGTATTGTAGAATTTATTCACATCCTTTCCAGTGCTCATGTGAGATAAGGAGTAACTGCAGGGGACGTAGTTCTGAGAGATCAGCCAAGGGATAAAAGGAGGACAGTGGTATGTAAGAAATACCAAATATGATCTTTCCTATAAAATACATAAAACTTAAGCCAGACAAGGTGGCTCACAGCTTTAATCCCAGCACTCAGAGGGCAGAGGCAGGTGGATCCGAGTTCGAGGCCAGCCTGGTCTACAGACCGAGTTCCAGGACAGCAAGGACTAACAGAAACCCTGTCTCGAAAAAAATAAAAACATATATACATACATACGTACACGCATACTTCTGTTTAGAACAAGGAATTAAGAGTCTCTTGTCTCCCCCACCTCGAAAGACTTGTAAATATTTGAATCCTCTCCACCCAGGAAAACTTTTACTTACACCAAGGCCCATACTACTGTACTCCAGGAATTCAATGGCCTGGAGCAGTGATCCTTTTCTCCTCGGAGCAGTGACCTCTTCTTTCCCTTTTCTCCTCTATTTCCTGTGCACACATTCTTTTCAGACTAGCCAGCTGAATAAAGATTGTGAGGTTGGACCCTAGCCAATGGGAAAGACATAGCCATCACCTTCCTTAGAATAAAAACACATGTACTCCCTGTCTAGGTGCATCTGGTCCTCTGCCTGTCCTCACCCCAGAACACCCTCTTAATCAAGAGTAAAGTCTTTACAGACACATCAGCTGGAGCGATGGTCTGTCTCTCTTTGCAATCCCAAACTTATTCCCAGCAGTGACAGCTGTGGGAAATTCAGTACAGACTTGTGGCTGTAATTGCTACAACAAGTAAATTAATAGCTAGTTCTCAGGTGTGTGGATGTCTTTGGTTAAATCCTGGAACACAGGAAGCCTGGGTTAAAAAACATCTTCTGTTTCTAGGAATAAGACCAGAGTAATTTTATTTCTGTTCCTCCATTTCTGAATCTGCAGAAAGTAATAGTGGTGCTGGCTATCAGATAGTTGTGAAAGTGTTTCAAGACCGCAGCAGTATTACTTCTAGCACATTCTACTTACTGACTCTACTATTAATAATACTGACAATATTTAATATTGAAGAGTCCATACGTGCAAGACAGACTTAATAGCAGGGTTTTTCTTTAGTTATTTTATGATTTTGTAAAATGAATCCGTGTTGCTATTAAAAATCAAACAGACAGATGCAAACTTTTCAATAAAAGTTTCAGTAGGCCTGCGAAATAGCTCAGTGGGCAAAAGCACTTGCTACCTAGCTTGAGAATATGAGTTCGATCACACGACCTACATCATAGGAGGGACCAGTGTGCCACAAGTTGTCCTCTGACCTCCACACAAGCGCTGTAGCATTGTCCTTCCCTGCCACACAAAATAAATGTGAAGTTATTTTGTCGAAAACGATCAACCCATTGCTAGCCAAATTTTCCAGATCATATTGTTCAAGAAGGTCATGGGAGTTGAGTACATGTCAAAAGCACAGGCTGCTAGACACGGAAACAGAGCTATTGGATCAGTCTTTAAGATATAATCTCGTAATCGTTCAGTCAGCTTTACAGGTGATTTGCTCTGCGAGGAGGTCTGATTGGGAAAGGCTGCAGTGACTGAACCGATTTCAGTCCAGGCGAAGATTTGAGCCTACAATTCCCATGCTGTCCCGCGAACTAGCGCGAGCGAGCGACACGCCTGCCGGGAGTTGTAGTTTTCAACGGCCAGACCCAGTCTATAAGAACTTGAGCGATGGCTCCAGGAAACCAACTGTCCCACAATGCAAAGGCCACCGGTGACGCTATCAGACGGGCGCCAGCAGCGCTGCGAGCGGGGACCGCCTTGGACCCCGCCGCCTCCCACCCTGTCGCCTCCGTCGCCGCCGCCTCCGTGGGGCCCTCCGTGTCTGCGCAGCGCGGCCCGCGGCTCCCGGAGGAGCAGCCGAGCGCGGGGCCCGGCGCAGGCGCGGGGCGCTGCCATGGCGGATGGTGCGGGAGCTGGCGCGGCGGGCCAGGCCTCGGGGCCGGCGGCGGGCTCGAGTGGGGCAGGGGGCCCGGTCAACCCCGCTTCGCTGCCTCCCGGAGACCCGCAGCTCATCGCTCTCATAGTGGAGCAGCTCAAAAGCCGTGGCCTGTTCGATAGCTTCCGCCGGGACTGTCTGGCCGACGTGGACACCAAGGTACCCGGGCCGTGGGGGGCGAAGCGGTGCGGTGCACCCTGCTATTATGACGTGCTAGAGCCGGGGGTAAAACAAAAGGCAGCTCGGGAGCCTCCGGGATGCGCTGCGGGGAGCAGTACAGGCGCCTTCGGAGTGGTGCGCGTCTGAGCGCTGCTCTCGCTCCTCACTTACCAGCTGTGATTTTTGGTCCAGTCGCCTTTGTGAACTTGGAGATTCTTTTACGGCTGCACGTATGTAACCCCCTCCAAACCAAAGAAACTCGTGTTTTAGAACAGTCAGGAAAGGCTTTAGAAGCTCTACCCAGTTTCTGTTCACCACTAGGGAGGTGATTTTAAGCCCGGAATGGATTGGACGACACGGTAATTCTCTTTCCCCAGCGGAATAATTTGCAGACCTGTATTCTGTCAAACTGGGATAAGCTGTAGAGTCAGCACCCTTATTTTGTATCCTTTAATCTAAAGGGAGTTGATGCCTATGTTAGACTTAGTGCAAAAGCTAGTCTTTCCGGTAAAAGTACTAATTCGCCTTACTTGGAAAAGTTGTTTGGGATGTGTGTTAAGAGCCAGGTGTATAGTAGTAGCCAGAACATTCCTTTTTCTCTTTACAAAACCAACTTGCCAGCCTGGCGTTGGTGGCACATGCCTTTAATCCCAGCACTCGGGAGGCAGAGGCAGGCGGATCTCTGTGAGTTCGAGGCCGGGCTGGACCGATAGCCTCCAAAACAATACAGAGAAACCCTGTCTCGTAAAAAAACAAAAAACAAAAAAACAACTTGCCAAGGGTAAGGAGGTGGAGTTAGGGGCCTCTTTACTGACTGAGAGGGCTGCATGTCACCCAAGCCAGCTGGTCTAGGGTAGGTATCAGCTGGTGGCTTGGCTGTCAGCAGCAGGCTGCCTGGGTCTGTGTATGGCTTTGATGGCCGGGTTAGTCTGCCTTGTAAATACACAAGCTGCACAGGTAGGCCATCCTTCCCAGTTCATGTTCTCATGGAGGGGCCAGAGCCATGCCCGAAGGCAGTCTCAGTTCAGTCCTGGAGTAAGTGACACACCACTCAGCATGGGTGAGGAGAGGTTGGAACCTCAGAATATGCGTTCCTTGTACTCACTAGTTAATTTCCTAGTCTTGTTCTCAGGCATATAGGAGCAGTTAGAGTAAGTGTCTCAGGCTCATTTGTGGGGTCACTACTTTGCCTGGAAACTTCACAGAGCTCCCTTGTATTAACTGTAGTGACCCTTGCTGAGGTTTGGGTGGCTCTTTCATTTGCAGGGGCCTTTCCTTGGTGTTCTGCTGCGAGCTCCCACTGTGAGTCAAGCAGGCAGGAATGTTTGCATTCTAAGGATGGAAATTACTGAAACTCAGATGTCAGGTGACTCACAAAAAGTCACCTTGATCTAGAACCAGTTCCTTCCTTTGGAGGATACCTTTGTTTACTCTTTGAAGCCTGAATGTCTAATGTCTACATTTGGGCAGAATAGATACTAATAGGCCCTCCCTCGTGGAGTTCCTTTAAAAGTAGATTGACTTATATAGTTAACGCGCCACACTGTGCCCAGCCACTGCAGGATGAGTCCTGAGGCCAGGTGGAAGTGTGCTTAAATGAGAAAATGTGGTTCTATGAAAGGCAGTGTTCCAAATGCCACTCGGTTCCACAACTTTGGCGCATGCACTAACTTGGTCTCTTCTTCTGAATGTCTCAGCCAGCTTACCAGAACCTGAGGCAAAAAGTGGATAATTTTGTGTCAACGCATCTGGACAAACAAGAATGGAGTCCTGCAATGAACAAGAACCAGTTGCGAAATGGGCTGAGGCAGAGCGTGGTCCAGTAAGTAAATCAGTGAGGAAAGTGGCTGTCCCAGCATGCTGCTGCACGGCCTGCCCTTGGTTCATGGGCTCCTGGCTGATGCTGCTTCGTAGCCATCTACTGTCTCATGCATGGGGGAAGATGAACAGAGCCCTGAGTACCAGCTGCTCGCTTCAGTGGTAACTCTGGAAGGTCTTTGGGATTGTGAAACGTGGCTCATTGTCATCTGAACAGGAGAGTGGGTTTTATGGCAGGATGCCAGTGTTTGGGTACAGGCCAGCAAAGTAAGTACTGTGTGTTCTGTGACCATGGCTGCTAAAGTGTGGTGACAGTTTGCAGAAAGATGTCCTGTAAGACATTGTCCTTCACGGAGACAAACTGAACCTTTGCTAGAGAAGGCACTGTAGAGAACTCACGTGAGGGGCCTCATTGTCACTGGCATGGGTAAGTTTTTTCTGGTCTGTTTCAGAATTCATTATTTCTTTTAACACCAGGGCTTATATTTGGCACTTTTTTTCTTCTTTTTGGTTTTTCGAGACAGGGTTTCTCTGTATTGCTTTGGAAGTTGTCCTGGAACTCACTCTGTAGACCAGGCTGGTCTCAAACTCATAGACATCTGCCTGCCTCTGCCTCCTGAGTGCTGGATTAAAGGCGTGCACCACCACTGCCTGGCTATTCAGCACTTCTTAATCCACTAAATTGTTGAATAAAGGCTTAAGAAACAGGACCCTGCAAATAGAAGCGTCAAGGGGATTATGGTTGTGCTGGTGCATCCCTTGAGCAGCTCCCACCCCCAGGCTCATAGGACAGAAGCTGATCCCCAGTGAGTTGACGTGGTGGCAAGAGCTGGGCGAAGGAAGGTGTTGAGGTTATGGGGCCTTCACCTTTGTGGCACTGAATAAGTTCTTTGAGAATCGGCTGTTGAGCTGAGTCTGATGTGATACCTGATACACTCCTATCGTTCCAGTACTCGGGAGGCTGAGATGGGAAGATTAGGAGAGTCAAGCAGCCTTGGTTATGGGCAGAGGGAGAGAGATTGAGAGATTGATATTAAAAACAGAAAAGGACAAGCGTTATAGCAGTCGCTGTGGTTTATGACCCCTGAAGTCTTTTGTAGATGAAGAATATTAGCACCCACGGTAAAGCTCTCTTTGCTCTAGGGGAGTGTGGCGTCCAAAGCTGCCCATGTTGTGTCTCGGTGTACACAGTCCTGCTCCCTTTCTCAAGGTGAGCTCCGGTGTCGAGGCCTCAGAAAGGAGGGGTCAGTAGCTGTCCTTTATTGAGCAATACTCACTGCATGTCCAGTCTCTATGTGTCTCCAATCGTCACAAACCTCTCACCTGCCTTGTGTTGGATGTAGTAACTGAGTTGCTGTTGGAAGCCACTTCTGTTCTGGCTGCTAAGAATAAATGCTGAGGAAAACTAAGGCGTAACAAGACCTGCTGCCTTTGACACTGACGGCAATGTCACCGACGCCTGTGGCCAGGCTCTTGCAGTTTGTCACATGTGTTGGCCTTTGGTGCAATCTGCACAGCTTTGTTCCCATTGCACCAAGTTGAGGCTGCATTAGAATGGTGGATGACAGGCGGCTGTGAATCCCCTCAAATGAAAGGCCAATGGCCTAAAACTCTGGGGGAATGGGTATTTGCTGGGCGCTTGAATGGCCCTTGGGGCTTATTGGTGCAAAGGGGAACTCTTGAGAACTAAATAACAGTAGTTTGTCTTATCTCCACAGGTCAGGCATGTTGGAAGCAGGAGTGGACAGGATCATTTCCCAGGTGGTGGACCCCAAACTAAATCACATCTTCAGGCCACAGATAGAGCGAGCAATCCACGAGTTCCTGGCAGCCCAGAAAAAAGAAGCTATGCCAGCTCCCCCTCCAGAACCTGAAAGTCAGGACCCTCCAGTGCCGTCCCAAGACGCTTCCTAAGGTTTGGAACCCCATCTTTCCTCTGTGGCCAGTCGATGGTTAGAAACGGGGTAAGCTGTGATTAGACATCATTTTTCACACCTGTTCAGAAAGAGAGCACTGGGAGTGGAGTTCACCCCAGTGAACCATCTCAGTGAATTCGGCTCTAGCCGCTCCCATATTGGCAACTGTGCTCTGTACCAGTGGAGCCGAGCATCCAAGTTACCACAGGAAACCTCATCAGCAGCCACCGTGGCAACTGGTTTACACAGGGGACTATGGAGGTCGTCATCTCTGAGATTGCTTACCTGTGGCTCCCCCTGGTGCTGGCTGACATTTGTGATTCTCATATGAAATCAGCAGCATTCCCAAGTGCTGTCCCAAGTGAGGCCTTCGCCATGAGCCAGCGTTCCCAGGTTGCCCTGTGTTCTCTGTCTCAGGGTTAGGATTTACTCTAAACTTTAAAAATAGCTGGAGCTACAGAGGTGGATGCTGTGCCGGGTTTGGGGAGCCACTGTATGAGCAATGGACCCCTCACCTGCCATCATCACACGCCGGGGTGCTGTGGTCCCTTGTTCTGCTGCTAGTGAGTCCTTAAGATACTGATACTAATAAACTGGGTAGGGAGGCAGTGGATCAAGGCCTTTGAACATGAGCATTTGAAGGGCTGTGCTGTGCCTCTTGGGAGAGATCCTTGACTCATCATGGAGTGTAAATCATGTATGTTAAATCTTTTCCATTTCATTGTAAATTCTTTTAGGAACATGTACTTAGTGAATATACAAAAGTAGCATTTTGACATTATTATCTTTTTTTTTTTTTTAGAATATGTCTGATACCTTTGGAAAACTCCATTTAATGAAGAAATGGAATAGATTCCTGTTGCATACAAATATAACTTGAGTCGACCATGTCACTACTTATGTCAAGATTTTGGCCTTGACTGGGGTGGTGTCCATATTGGATGGAGCTCATGTGTTGTGCAGCCTTTGACCAGCCTGTCCAAGGGACCGACCACAGTAGACACTACAGAGGTTTAAGCACTACATGACTGTATCCTGAACAAACCTCTCTACTTGAACACGGACCCTGCATGTGGATGTTAGCACTTGTGCTCTGCGGTGAGCAGAAGCCAGGCCGCAGCTAACAGGTCAGGGCAGCAAAGGGCAATGGGAGCAGCTGGTATTGTTGCTAGAGTTACAGGCTGGAATGTGCAGCAGTTAGCCTCAGTAGCCCTAAGGTTGTTGTGACCTTCCTGTGCTTGGAGAGTTTAGTGGTTTCCTTTCTCTTGTCAGCTTGGAGCCCTGGCGTGAGTGAGGAAGCTGAGACTTGGGGACAAGGAAAGCCCCACTGTCTCTGTCCTGGTGTCTCACTGGCTGTAGGGGCGAGCGATTCACCCTGGGTGTGGTGCTCGGTTCTCACGTTTGTGTTTTTAGAAGAACAACCGTTAATAAATAGCAGATGTTTTACAATAAAGTCATTTGATGATCTTTCTCTAAAGCGCCTCTGTCTGTGGAGGTGACACCCCTTCCTCTACCTGCCTGCTGCCTCCATACAGCCTGTGACTGATGGGAACGGAGGATTGCTGGTCAGAACTTAGAAGCACCCTGGTTCATGCTGGCTGATGCAGCTGGTCAGGGCGAGGCAGTGTCTTGTTGAATGTTCTGACTCATGTCAAGCGTGGATGAGTACCAGTGCCCCTGAGTGTCTCGGGACAGGGTGGGGGAGCTGGGTGTTATTGGCCTGGGGTGGGGTGAGGTGAGAAGGGGACAGGTTGTGTGTGTGGTCAGAGACAGCTTGCAGATATTGGTTCTGTTTCTGCCACCTGTGTCCCAATGATTGAATTCAGGTAATGGGACTTGGTGGCAAACGCCTTTACTCACTGGCCGAAAAATTTGTATCTTACAAGCTCCCAGATGATGCTGGGCCTTGGATATAGCAAAGATTGCTTCAAACTAAAGAGTTCTTGTTTTTAGTGAGTACACTGGATATTGTTTGTCTAACTTGCTGGGTTTGGAGGTTTTGTGTTGCTGGGGGTAGAAACCGGTGCCTTACACCTGTTGAGCACATGCCCAGCCCAGATAAAAGGAGTGTTTCCCTCCCCCTTTACCACAAATAGCCTCATTGGGACTTTATTGCCTTTTAAGAGCTCAGCAAGATTTTTGCAGCACCTGCCTTTGTGCTAAAAGCAGGCTGGCTCCACCCTCAGCACAGGTGGAAGCCACCCCAGAGATGCACTATCATCTCCACGGAACAAGTTGCTGGCCTTAGTTCTTAGCAGCTGGGACAGAACAATCTTCTACTCTACTGCACATGCAGAGAGGTGTGTCTCACTCCTCAGAGACTGCACAGCCATCCCACACTGATCCCACCCAGAATAGACCAGCCCAGAGGACATTCCTACCTACAGATGCTCAGCTGACCCCATCCATGTTGTGTGTTTTAAGCAAATAGGTTTTGATGAGCATTCTCCCTTTGTTTCTCCTATTCCCGAAGAAGACCTGATTGGATGTCCAGAAGTGCAGACTTGACAGTTGCCTGCCAGGAGCTCAGGGTCTCCACAGTTCTGTCTGCCACTAAGGATCAGTGAGGCTGAGCTGAGGAAAGCAGGGCTTTGTCAGACTAGAGAGACTTGTGCACTCTTAGATGGGCATTTGATTCTTTCCCTAATGAAGAGGAAAGAAGTACCCATGTTTCCCAGGTGGATGTCTTCACACTTCTGGAGGAGCAGTCAAGACAGCCCAGTAAGGCTCTGGCAAGAAAGACCACTACCTTAGAAGTGGGTTGCTAGCCAGATCTGTGTTGACCCTGAATCCTTAAGCCTTGGATATTGGGTTCATCACACAGGACCTGAGGGGAAATCACCATCCAAGAAGTAGGATAATTCTTCGTACCAAAACTGCTTCACCTATTAAACACCCTTACCGTATATATACTGGCTTTTTTTATATATATTTTAATTATTCCTTTAAGAATGTCCCACAATGTAGTTTGATCATATTCACCCCCAACTCCTGTATTTCTTTTTCTGTAAGATGTAATTTGTCACTGGCCTCAAGTGTGCGAGTTAGGCCTCTCTATGTGGAAAAGCCATTGCAAGAGCTGAGTGGAGCATGGGGCTGACCTCTAGGACATGACCAGCTCTGGGAAACATTAAGGCTTAAGCAGGAAGGGCCTTGGTCAGGGGCAGCAGGATGGTGCCCTGTTCTGAAGCTCACTTCTCTTGCTTGAACCAATATCTGAGGTTGCTGCTGGAGACTTTAGTTACTGGCATGCTTCTAGTTACCAGCTTGGCACTGACCCTAAAGCCAATTGTTTGAACTCTAGATGCTCAGTGTGATTAGTGGCTTCTTAGTGGGGGTTTAGCCTTGCTTTTGCCACTGTGTCTTGTCCTCTACTAACTAAAAGCTCATAAGTTCTTATGTGCTGTGTTACCAGCACTGTGAGCTGGAGAAACACCAGATGCATCCCAGGAATACATGGACACTGGCTCCAAAAGGGAGTATCACATTGCCCTCAAAGGTGGCAGTCCCTAGATGTGCATATGTCAGAGCCTCGGGTGTACCAGTCAGTGCCGCTGCAGGACATCTTCCCCAAGGCTGGGGATGTGACTTGTACTGATGAACTAACCACAAGATGACACATCTGTTCCGGTACCACCTGGATGGTGACAACACATGTCTCTGACTCCTCCCTCAGTCCCTTGCAAGGACCACTTTTGTTCCTCATGGCTTAGCCATGCCTGCACGTAACTCAGGAGTGGTCTTTTGATGTTAAGTTGGCTCAGGAAGCTCAGAGCCTTCCCTGGAACTGCCAAAGGCCCTAGTGGACCACAAAAGTCAGGAGATATGTCTGTGGGGACCCAGCGAAGGGATCCAAGACCACATGGTAGTATTCACAACTGTTCTCATACCGCACTGCCTCCGGGCACCACAGTGCTTTTGACCTTCCTTCCTAAGACAGCTTTTCACTAAGAACCTTCTACTCACCAGTCTCCTCAGGAAGAAATAAAGGAGCCAAGAGCCAGGCCCTGTCTTGTGCATAGTCTCATTTATTTTTTTTCACAGTCCTGGAAGGTTAGTTTCCATTCTATGAAGAAATCTGAAGGGCTTTCCTCACAGCAGGCTGAGGAGCAGGGATGTGCAGCCAACACCTGTCTCTTGGCTACTGGTATTTAACATGTTCAACCATGTCAGTCCTCTGGGGTTAACTCATTCCAAACCTGGGCCCCATCAAATGGATTTAAATTCCGAAACCAGTGGCCTCATCTACCCAAAAAGGAAAGAAGTATAAACTGACCATGTGCTTGCCATGAGAGGTGACCAGGGCATGGCTGAACACACTGGAAGCTTGTCATCCCTTCCTGCAGGTGACCAGGGCATGGCTGAACACACTGGAAGCTTGTCGTCCCTTCCTGCTCCTGCCGTCGTCCTTTCTTTTTGAAGACTGAGTAGATTTCCCTTCTGTGTGTGTATCATTTTGAAAAGCCTGGCTAATTTTTGGCACAAAAACAAATCACCTAAGACACATCTCAGAACATACACAGTGTGAAACATCTGGAAACCTTTGATCAGCTCTGGAAGGTCACATGGTATGAACTGAGCTCCCTCTGAGCAGGTGTTGGCCCCCCACAAGTGTTGACAGTGGAGAAGATAGTGAAAGTATGTGACATCCCCTGCCATGCAGCACAGCTGGTCACCTGGACAGTTGGTCCAAGAGACCCAGAGCAAGCTGGGGGCCACAGCAGCCTGCTGGGTTTTACATGCTCTCATACAGTCTCGGGGTTTTACATGCGCTCATACAGTCTCGGGGTTTTACATGCGCTCATACAGTCTCGGGGTTTTACATGCGCTCATACAGTCTCGGGGTTTTACATGCGCTCATACAGTCTCGGGGTTTTACATGCGCTCATACAGTCTCGGGGTTTTACATGCGCTCATACAGTCTCGGGGTTTTACATGCGCTCATACAGTCTCGGGGTTTTACATGCGCTCATACAGTCTCGGGGTTTTACATGCGCTCATACAGTCTCGGGGTTTTACATGCTCTCATACAGTCTCGGGGTTTTACATGCGCTCATACAGTCTCGGGGTTTTACATGCGCTCATACAGTCTCGGGGTTTTACATGCGCTCATACAGTCTCGGGGTTTTACATGCTCTCATACAGTCTCGGGGTTTTACATGCGCTCATACAGTCTCGGGGTTTTACATGCTCTCATACAGTCTCGGGGTTTTACATGCGCTCATACAGTCTCGGGGTTTTACATGCGCTCATACAGTCTCGGGGTTTTACATGCGCTCATACAGTCTCGGGGTTTTACATGCGCTCATACAGTCTCGGGGTTTTACATGCGCTCATACAGTCTCGGGGTTTTACATGCGCTCATACAGTCTCGGGGTTTTACATGCGCTCATACAGTCTCGGGGTTTTACATGCGCTCATACAGTCTCGGGGTTTTACATGCGCTCATACAGTCTCGGGGTTTTACATGCGCTCATACAGTCTCGGGGTTTTACATGCGCTCATACAGTCTCGGGGTTTTACATGCGCTCATACAGTCTCGGGGTTTTACATGCGCTCATACAGTCTCGGGGTTTTACATGCGCTCATACAGTCTCGGGGTTTTACATGCGCTCATACAGTCTCGGGGTTTTACATGCGCTCATACAGTCTCGGGGTTTTACATGCGCTCATACAGTCTCGGGGTTTTACATGCGCTCATACAGTCTCGGGGTTTTACATGCGCTCATACAGTCTCGGGGTTTTACATGCGCTCATACAGTCTCGGGGTTTTACATGCGCTCATACAGTCTCGGGGTTTTACATGCGCTCATACAGTCTCGGGGTTTTACATGCGCTCATACAGTCTCGGGGTTTTACATGCGCTCATACAGTCTCGGGGTTTTACATGCGCTCATACAGTCTCGGGGTTTTACATGCGCTCATACAGTCTCGGGGTTTTACATGCGCTCATACAGTCTCGGGGTTTTACATGCGCTCATACAGTCTCGGGGTTTTACATGCGCTCATACAGTCTCGGGGTTTTACATGCGCTCATACAGTCTCGGGGTTTTACATGCGCTCATACAGTCTCGGGGTTTTACATGCGCTCATACAGTCTCGGGGTTTTACATGCGCTCATACAGTCTCGGGGTTTTACATGCGCTCATACAGTCTCGGGGTTTTACATGCGCTCATACAGTCTCGGGGTTTTACATGCGCTCATACAGTCTCGGGGTTTTACATGCGCTCATACAGTCTCGGGGTTTTACATGCGCTCATACAGTCTCGGGGTTTTACATGCGCTCATACAGTCTCGGGGTTTTACATGCGCTCATACAGTCTCGGGGTTTTACATGCGCTCATACAGTCTCGGGGTTTTACATGCGCTCATACAGTCTCGGGGTTTTACATGCGCTCATACAGTCTCGGGGTTTTACATGCGCTCATACAGTCTCGGGGTTTTACATGCGC